CTGTCACTACTTCCACCTTTTCCCCTTCTATTTGCCATGCAGTAATGGGGCTGGATGCCATGATTTTAAGTTTGTTTTTTTTTTAATATTTAGCTTTAAGCCAGCTCTTTCATTTTCCTTCTTCACCCTCATCAAGAGGCTCTTTAGTTCCTCTTCACTTTCTGCCATTGGAGTGGCAGAAATATCTGAGATTATCTGATATATCTGCAGTTATTGATGTTTCAAATGGGATTTATAAGATTAAATAATATTCTAATACATATTAAAAAACCTAAACATTTTGTAAACTTTTGAACCTATCAATTTTACATAGCAAAATATAACCTGATATTATCATGGATGCAGACAAAGACTTAATGGTCATCAAAGCACTGATTGTAAAAACAGCAAACTAAAAAAACTTCAATTTCAATAAGAGAGGTTAGTTGGTGCAGTAGTAAAGAATCTGCCAGCCAGTGCAGGAGACACAAAAGACATGAGTTCAATCCCTGAGAAGGGAAGATCTCCTGCAGTAAGAAATGGCAACACACTGCAGAATTCCTGCGTGAAAAATTTCATGGACAGAGGAGACTGGTGAGCCACAGTCTATGGGGTCAAAGAGTTGGACACAGCTGAAGCAACTTGGAAAGCATGCACGAACCACATCTTTACTACTGGATTGTGCCTGGTGATTGAACGACCTGACTCAAACTGGACAATCATTCTACCTCTTAATAATCTGAAGTTGAGATTTGTAAATGCCAATCTGTTTCTTCTCATGACTTGAACACAGCATAAACAACTCAAGAGGCTGGTGTATGGTTTTGTATATTTAGCAACACATATGGAAGACCAAAGAAGTTTGTCTACAGAGAGGAAAGAATGAAGCACATCCATAGAGCCAGGAACTGAGCCTGGAAACCATGTATCCCCAGCAGGTGCGGATGATGTTTCAGGTCCCAATCCTGACTTTGGACTCCATTTGGCACCCCTGTTTCTTTTTAATAATTCTTTGTTTTCTAACCTGGTCTGAAGTTACTCTTACTTGCAACCAAAGTTAGATTGCCTATTTAAAACCAAAAGAGCTATTTCTAAGAAAATTAGCAATATGATCACAATGAGATATCTGGGCATTTGTGACAGTAAATAGGTAAATAGATGTTAAAAATGTTTCCTTTTTCTCTTAACTTGATGAAACTCTCATGCACAATGCTTTCGGAAAATATTTTGGGGAAAGCTCTTTTGAAGAAAAATATGTAGATATGGTCTATGTAGATAATCTCCTGTTGTTAGAGCTTAAAAATGCCACTGATATATTGTGGGGAACCATTCCCTCCGAGGTTTAATTCATTTTAAGAGGACTTTTTGGAACTCAAATTTGAGTTTGTTGCCAAATAGAACACTGAGAAAATTATTTTGGAGAATTTTTACAGTAAAATATTTTCCTGTTAATGTCAAAACAAGTGATCAGGCATTTTTATCCCATTTCATCTACATTTGTTTGCAAAGCTGTTTTATATGCACTTTTAGCTGTGAAGACAAATCACTTGACAGGATCTATATTATGTTCAGCCTCTCACATAGGAAGATACTGCAGCTGTGAAGCAGCTCCAAATGCTCTCGCTAATATGGTTTTCAAAGTGAAAAAAAAAATCCTTGCTTTGTTTTACTCAGATTTTATCTTGAAACCTTTAAACACATTTTAAAAAGTGTTTGAGCTATATAGCTTTACCAGAAGAGGTCTACATTTTTAACAATTGGAAAGACTACTGTAATAATATGGCAAGTATCCTTAGATGAATTTTAGTACTCTGAGTCTCAGTATTCTAAATTTTAGTATTTAGACTTTGACTAGGGCAGAACAAAGACATCAGAAATATGATCCCCACACTTCAGACAGCTTCCTAGTTGCAGGGAAATGGAGCCAAACAAGCAGATCTTGCATGACCTCAACTCTGCTCCTGGAATCACCCTCTGCCCAGTTCACAAATTCCTGGCATGCCTTTCATTCTCTTGTGGCAGAGAGCAAGCGCAGTTGCCAGGTTACTGCTGATGAAGAAAACTTTTTAGAAGCAGAAAGTTAGTGTCTTGGTTCTGAATGACTCATCTCACACTCTGGGCCTTGTTAAACAGTAACTATTGGCTGCTGCTTAATCTGCTGGATCTTGCTCAACTGGTAATTTGAGAGTCCAAGTTGGATATATCACTTTTTACTTTTCACTGTTTTTCAAGTATAAAATAGATGAATTATATTTACTTTACAATGGATTCAGAAGTATCTGGTACAGTCATTTGGCACAAAATTGTAAAAACAAAATCAGTGTTTATCAAGTAAAATGAGAGATAAACTTTCATCTTTCCACATCACCTATTTATTAAAATAGCAAGTTGGTTTTAATCTCTAAAGAAAACCTAAAGGTTTTAGACTTGAGAAATAGGTCTTGTAAATGTGTGTGTGTGTGGCAGGGGGGCTTCCCTGGTGGTCCAGTGGTTAGGAATCTGCCTACCAATGCAGGGGATACTGGTTGGATCCCTGACCCAGGAAGATCCCATATGCCTTGGGGCAACTAAGCCCCTGCGCCAACTGCTGACTCTGTGCTCTAGAGCCCACTCACTTCAACTAGTGAAAGCCTACACGCAGCAACAAAGACCCAGCATAGCTAAAAAATAAATCTTTTAAAAAAGGAAATGTGGTGGGGGGTGGGGGCAATCTCAGAAATATGAGATCCATGGTTTCAACCACTTCCTTTTGTTCAGCAGACGCTAAGGGAGTATAAACCATAGGTGGTTTTCAGAGCCATCCTTACAAGGGACTTTTACCAAGTTAGGTGAATTTGGATGAGCCTCAAATTTCGTCATCTATAAAGTGGGAATAGTAATACCTACCTCACAGAATTGTTGAGAGCAGTAGAACGTGAGAGAAGTATTCATCCACCTTATCAGTAGATATATGCTATTAATACAGTAAGCCTCCAGGAAATGGTACATACATACTATTTTTTTACTAAAAATATATTTTCACTTCCTTCAAATTTCAGAAGATACAAAATTATACCAGAAGATACAAAATTATATGTTGTATCTTCTGAAATCTTTCCATTTCTGTTTCCCAGTTACACAATTCCCCTCCTTGGGGTCTATTTATGTATGTTTCTTGTGTACCTTGCTAGATGTACTTTGTATATTTAAAAGCTAAAGTGTATATATTTCCCCTCACCTTTTAAAATAACGTGAAAAAAATCACACTTCCATATTTTTAAGAAAATCACTTAAAATGTATCTTAGAAGTTGTTTATATAAGTTGCACTTGTTTTTAAACACTTATGGCACAGATGTCTGTGTGTATATTAGGGGTGGGGGCAGAGAGGGAGAGAATACCCAGCTATCTATTATGCAGGCCTATTCTACTAATCCTAACTCTTAACTACTGGATATTCATTCATTTATTCAACAAATATTTATTGAAAATCTAAAACAAGTCAGGCTTGGCCCTGGCAATACAGCAAAGAACAAAACAAGACTGTCACTTCTTTCCCATTCTAGTGAATACGAGGCTGGACATTCCATTTTGCCCCATCCCTTTCCGAGCCCCAAAGTGGCCCTGACAGGGGTGGGGGTGGAGGGGGTTTGACTGTCAGACTTTTGACTCCTGTCAATCAGGATCCCTCGGGTGCCGGGTGGGGTCTTCAATGACCAGAACCCTCCCGGGCATCCTTAGCTCCACACCCTTCCAGACGGGGGATGAAGGGGCGGCCCCAGACTGGGTTTGGATCCGCGGCAGGAGGGCGGGGAGTCCTCTGGCGTCTCTGGGGCATCCGTCCCGAGAGCGAGCGTGGACCCTCGCCTGCGTTCGTGTCTCTCCGAGGCGCGGGCAGCACACAGGGAACTCAGAGATGACTTCCTTAACTATCCTACTTAGCACAGATGGGAAACCGACGCCCGAGGAGGCGAAGGCTAGGGCTGATGCCCACCTCAGTCTTGGGGCGAGTGGGTCCACTCACAGCGAGTCCAACAGCTGGGCAGACGCGAAGCATTAAGGAACTACATACTTCTTGGTGTCTACTAGAAACTACAGTCGAAAGGCCTCGGTCCCTCCGGAGCGGGTGGCGGGAGCTGAGAACCCGGAGGGCGGCGCGGGCCCCAGCCCTTTAAATTCGCAGCCGCGCGGGAACTACAGCCCAACAGCCACAGGCGGGTGGGGTGGGCAGACGCTAGTCCCCGCCGGCCAACGACCGCCCCTAGCCCGCCCCCTCACCGATACCTCTCCAATCAGCAACCCTCTTGTCGCTTGCCCCTGCCCGTCACCCCCACTCGTCGCCGACCTCGAATACCCGCGCAGAGGGACAGCAGGGGCGGGGCTCCCGGAGGGTGTGTCTGGGCGAGTGCCGACGTCGCGCGCTCCCCTGGAGTTTCGAACGCTGTTGGCTCCTTTGGAAGAAAAAAAATACAAGAGCGGCGGCCAATAGCATGGCAGAAAGGACCCGCGCGCAGGTCCGGCTCCGCCCCGGTCTGGCTAGAAAGGAGTCCAGGCCCGGCCATTGGCTCGCGCGTCCTGTCACTCGCCGCTGCGGCCAGCGGGCAGGGGCCTTGCGGTGATTGGTTCCGCCCAGGCGCGAAATGTAACGCGGGAAAAACAGGAGCAGGGACCCCGGCGGCAGGTTGTTATTTTCGGGGGCTCGGCGCCGCGCGTCTAGCTTCCCTGTCATCGCAAAGGCAAGCCGCCCGCTGCTTCCCGCAGCTGCAGCCTGCGTTGGAGAGTACAAACAGCGGAGAGCGGGTTTGACCCAAGGCTTGGGGGTCCAGCCCTGACCGTCTGGTCCGGCCGAGCCGTTCTGTTCCTTCGCTGGCCGCAGCGCAGAAGGGTTCCAGGAAACGTTTGCTTGCCATGAGCCGGCGGGACTGAGAGCCGGCAAGACTGAGAGCCAGCAACTCGGAGCAGCGCCGGCGAGCGGAGCAAGGACCAGACCCGGGCTCGGGGACTGCGGCCCACGGCCGCCAGAGCTGCGGATCCGGGCCAGGCAATGATCCGGGGTGTGGAGGCGCAGATGGCGGACAACGCCCCTCAGCCGCCACCCGTCATCTTCTGCCAGGACTCCCCGAAGCGGGTGCTGGTGTCGGTCATCAGGACGACCCCGATCAAGCCCACATGCGGCGGGGGAGGGGAGCCAGAGCCGCCGCCTCCGCTCATCCCCACCAGCCCTGGCTTCAGCGACTTCATGGTGTACCCGTGGCGCTGGGGCGAGAACGCGCACAACGTGACGCTCAGCCCCGGAGCCTCCGGGGGCGCAGCCTCGGCTGCCTTGCCTGCCGCCGCCGCCGAGCACCTGGGGCTGCGCGGACGGGGCGCGCCGCCGCCCACCGTCTCGGCCGCCGCCGCCTCGGGAGGTGAAGACGAGGAGGAGGCGAGCAGCCCGGACAGCGGCCACCTCAAGGTAAGTGGCGCGGGCGGGCGGGGCGCGGGGCAGTCGAGGCCCGTTAACGGCGCTGCCCGGCCGGCAGCACCCGCGGACTTGGCGGGCGGGGCGGGGCCGAGTTAAAAACGCGAGGTCGCTTTGGCGGGGGCGGGCGGTGGCGGGTGACAGGACGCTGACGTCACTGCCGCGCGCCAAAAATCTGCCCCCCCCCCACTCGGGGGCGGGACTGGACTTCAGTCATGTGACTTCGGCAGGGGATTGGGGAGGCCCAGCGGAACAGAGGCCACTGGCCAGCAGGTGCAGTGGGCGGGAGCGCGGCCTGGGGGTCACGGACCGGAATGGTCAGCCGGCTTTGTCAGCCGTTCGGCCTGCCGCTGAGTCCTCTCTGGCGGGAGAGGGCGGGAAGGGGCCGCAGGCCTTCAACTGTTCCTCTGGGTGCAGGAAGGGAGGGGTTGCGCCGTTACTGCTTCATCACTGCAGACACCACGACCCTGCTAAAGATGCCTTGCAGAGACGGCGGAAGAACAAGAAGGGACTTAGGGGAATCTTACCCAGCGTGTACAACTGGGCTCCCAGTTGTACTAAGTAAGCGTACAACTTTGCTAGATTCTGAGAGCAGAGTGGAATCGGACGCTGTTGTCAGCGGCTTCGAATTGCTTGGAGACTCAGTCTGTTTTAGAGCGGGGAAGGATTCAAACCTACAATTTACGGATCAGGCAATTGATACTTAGAGGTATTGATGAAGGGAGCTCCCCAACGTACACAGCTAGGTAGCAGGAATGCTGATAGGATAGACGCGTTTTTGTGGCTCCAAGTTCTGAAGCAGGGCTTCCATGGTGGCTCAGTGGTAAAGAATCCGCCTGCTAACGCAGGAGACGCGGGTTCCATCCCTGATGAGGAAGATACCCTGGAGAAGGAAATGGCAATCCACTCCAGTATTGTTTCCTGGGAAATCCCATGAACAACGGAGCCTGGAGGGTTCAGTCCATGGGGTCACAGTAGAGTCGGACACGAGATAGATAACTAAACAATAACAAAAAATTATTTGTGTAATGAGTAGTGCTGATGTAAGTTTAGCATTCAAGTTCTATTAGTTAAATGGCTATATAAGATAGGCAGTTTGTTAAAGATAAATCACCTTGTGGATAAGTACATTTATATTCGCAAATACTGTATCAATTGAAACAAGTTGGTCATCATTTACACACAGTAGGGAAGATATTGAAACTCCTTGTTGAGCCCTGAGGAAATTGGTACACTGTTACTAATTGCATTGTTATTAAAGTACCGTAATTATACAGCTATATGCCTTGACACACTTCAACTCTTAAAGCTACACTTAAGTAAAAATTTGAAAGAAGTAGTAGAAATATTTATATTAGTGCTGAATTTGTGAAGTGAGCAATCACAGTGTGCTGTCTCTAAATAGCCCTTAATAAGATGGCTGGATATCCTAGGTATTTTTCCATATTAACATATTTACATGTTTAGTACTTGAAAAAAATATATAGTAGGTTATATAGTTGAGCAACATAAACACATATATGCATAATTTACTTGTAGAAGATTTTGCATCTATTATTTTATTCCTGATTATAACTGAATCTAATTTTGGATTATCCAAGGAGGTTAATGTTATCATAGATAAATGAAATTCTGTAGGTATGGGGTTTTTTTGTTTGTTTGGTTTGGTTTTTTGGCCCCAAAGAGTCTTATTGTCACATAAATCTTTTTTAAAAAGTTCTTAATAATGCATGAGTTTGAATTTTATTTTTACTTTGTCTATTTATCAGAGGTAAAATATAGTACAAGTTAATGAAAAACATGTAAAAAGCTTTTATACATGTTACTTTTTTCCCTCCTCACAGTTGTGCATACTATAACTGTTTCATAAATTGTTAGCCAAGTTGATCCTTTTATCAATGAAGAATCCAAATACAGTTCCAAAAAATTCATTCATTTAGCATCTCCATCCTGATGGGGGAAGGTCTGGAATATACTTTCTTTTAGGGAAGTTACCTTGTTTGATTTATGATCAGTACATTCTTTAGTTTTAGTCTAATTCTTTTGTTTTGCTTTTCTAAAGTACTTGTAGTTCTTTTGTTTCCACATGCATGAGTGAATCATAGTGGCTGAATCTGCTCACCTTCTGGGAAGATGGAAGTCCGAGATATAGTTGGTGCCAATAGCATGCTTCCCTCTATCTCCGCACACCCCCCCACACACCCTTCTCTCAGTATTTGGGTAAGAGGCAATAACGGCTGTGGGTTTGAGAACATTTGTGTTCATTCACTATTTGTTACGACTGCTTGGAAGGGAGGCTTCAGCATCTCAGTCCTTGCTTTTTTGTTGCTGCCCAACATTGTCTTCCCTGCCTGTGGGGAAAATATCCATCTTCTGCCAGCTTATTTTGGCCCCTCATCACAAGATTGTTTAGCACTATTGGGATACAGTTATATATTAACGTGGTCTCTCCCCAGGTTGTAGAATTCTGGCAGGGAAGGAGGCAGGTCTAATTTTCCTCTGCCTAAGGATATCCCAAGCCTCCATACTTGTGCCCTTTACTCAGATTGCATTCATGAAGTTATTTTTCCACTGTGGGACCTGTGTAGTTTGACTTCTCTGCACATCCTCAGATTTACCCTTCAAGACCTGCCAGCTGCCTATCCTGTTTCACCTTTCTATCACAGATCATTTTAAACATCTAGACTGTACTTAGCCTTGTAGTAGCCTGTAGTTTTGATCACCACCATATTTAAACATAACATCATATTAACATGTTTCATCAACACAGTAGCCACCATTTATTATTCACTGCATTGCAGAGCAAACCACCAGACTTTGTGTTGATTGTTTTGAATTTTTTAATCAATTTACCTTGTTTATCTGATGAAAAAGGAAGAATTAGAGAAGTCCTCAGAATTAAGTTCATCATATGATAAGTAGCAGCACTGATTGGAACCTTTTAGAGCTCTTACTCTTAATCCCTACATGATACTGCTTCTGTGAGTTGACTTTTAGGGTTTTTTGTTTTTTTTCCTTTAATATTAAGATTCAAGTAGGAAATTTCCTGGTAGTCCAGTGGTTAGGACTCTGTGCTTCCACTGTAGGGGGCATGGGTTTGATCCCTGATCAACTCCTGGTGGGGGAACTAAGATCCTGTATGCTGGGTGGCTTGGCCAAAAAAGGAAAAGGAAAAATGGACTTTTTTGGTGGTCCAGTGGTTAAGAACCCCCCTGCCAATGCAGGAAACATGGGTTCAATCCCTAGTCCAGGAAGATTCCACATGCAGCAGGGCAACTAAGCCTGGGCACCACAACTGCTGAAGCCTGCATGCTCTAGAAGAGCCTGTGCTCTGCAACAAGAGAAACCAGTGTAATAAGAAGCCCATGCACCGTGACTAGAGAGTAGCCCCTTCTTATTGCAGCTAGAGAAGCCTGCATGCAGCAACAAACATCCAGTGCACCCCCCCCAAAAAAGAAGATGCAAGTAGACTCATAAAATACACTATTCAAAATGATACCTCAATTGAGGTGCTTTATGAGAGTACATGCAATAGATAGATACAAATTAAGACTTGTAAAGTTGTCAAGATAAGTCAAAGTAAGGGACAGCATTAGGAAGCAGATATGTGAGCCACAGGAAATTTGGATCAAATCTGAATTGGAAAAGGGAAATAAGATCTATTTACATTTTCTCATAAAAACAAGAAGGTATACACCTCTTCCACTGAAAACTATTTTTCTTTTCCTTCCAGATTGTTTGTATACTTTATTCAAATTTTGCTTTGTAAAAAATGTGTCAAGAACTTTTAGTTTTTTTAGTAATCATGCAAACATCAAGTTTGAATATAATTTTCTAAAGCTTAGGTTAATGTGTACGTTATTCTAAGTGTCTTGAGAAATAACTCAAACTTTATTAAATAACTTTTTTTTTTAATATTTATTCATTTATTTGGCTGCACCAGGTCTTAGTTGCAGCATGTGGGATCTAGTTCCCTGACCAGGGATCGAACCTGGGCCCCCTCCATTGGAGGCTCAGAGTCTTAACCACTGGGCCAGCAGGGAAGTCCCTAAATAACTTTTTAAAGTTATTGATGTTTGAGAATAAAACATTTATTGTAAAGTATTTTAGAAAGTATTTTTAAATCACTACCTTCTGGTGGTATTGGGATTGTTTTAAAAATTAAAATTGCTGAGATATGCAAACATTTTTGACAATATATTTATTTTACTTCTTTCTAATAGCTTATTTTGCAGCAGTGGCCACATAATAGCAGTAAGATATGTTAGAGTTTCTAATTCTTTCTTTATTATTATTTTTGCAGATTATCAAGCAGTCTTGACAAGATTTGTCTCTTAAACTACAAGTATACTTAGTCATTGATGAGTTAACACTTGGTTATTGTCAAAATGTACATGGAAACATGCTTTTGTTTTTAATTGCTAAGGCTGAAATGAAGTGTTTTCTTTGAGTGACATTTTTGTATATATGGTTAAAAGATGCTCTTTTTTCATTTATTTAGGGTATTAGATGATTACTTGCCTTGCTTAATTTTCTTAGCTAAAAAAATACACTTAGTGAAGCTTTACCTGCATATCACTGAGATGTTGGATTATGATGCATTTTTCAGCCCTATTTCTCATTTGGAAAATGAACATGTGGTTTGTAGCTGAGACAAGATCTTAGAGTTACTGGGAAGCAACCAAATAGTTAACTTAAACAAAAAATGTTCCCCCACTGTAAAACATGCTTGTTAATTTTTTTTAACCAGAAACAGAAAATAATAATGGGTAATCTTAAAATTTTGATATTAAATAGTTTAGTTATTTGATACTAAATCAGTTATTTCAAATTGTAATACAGTGAATAGTATGTTTTATGTATTTAAAAAATAGTCAGGAAATGATCCTTTTTGCTGTGGCAGAGCTGAATCACTGAAGTTTTTAATTAACCTTATTTCATGTTCCATTTCTTTCTTAACAGAACCAATCACCTGTGATTTTTATGGATCATAG